TATATATATATATATATATATATATAGTCTTGGTCAATCACATGAAATCCCAATGAAAGACAAAGCACGTTCATAAATAAACAGAACCGTGTATGATTTTTTGCTTTGAATTTCTTAATTAATCCATCAGCCAATCAGCTGCGAGAACCGACTGCAGTAATGAATCCAGTACACTCGTCACGTTCCCAGCATCCCTTGTAGAAAGAGAGAGAGAGAGAGTGTGCCTGTGTGTGAGAGAGAGAGAAAGAGAGAGAGAGAGAGAGAGAGAGAGAAAGGGGTTTGGCTGACAACCTGAGGAGGACCACGGATCGGAGAGCAGAAGAAGCAGCATCATCAGCATCATCCGAGGAAGAAGAAGAAGAAGAAGGGTCATCATCCAACACTTGTTCATCTTCACCAGTCGCTCAGGTAAATTGCGCGTTTTTGCGCATTTAATCCGCGCACCGCCTCTTTGTTTGCAGCCTTTGTGTTTTATCGCTCCCTGTCGCGAGGTTTGCTGTTTGGAGAAAGAAGCGTGCTTTCCTGGAACCAGGCTTCTGCTTGGCCGGGACGCGTTCCGGGACTCTGGGTTCTGCTCAGCCTGTCTGAGGCACAGAGTGCGGGGATTCCCTCCGCCGTGGCCCCGCAGCCCACAGTCCCGCACACTCCCCTCCTGTGGGAGCGGGGAGAAGGGGGGGCATGGCTCCATTTCATCACCGTGACCCGGTGAGCTGCTGCTGCTGCTGCTTCATCTTCATCCAGCTCAGAAAGTCACTTCTAATCATCCTAACGTCACTTTTATTTTCATTGGAGGAATATTTGACCTTTGTGCCGAGATGCGGCAGCTCAAAGGAATAATTCCGATTTTTATCGTATTTTCTTCTTAACTGGGTTTTTGTTGAGCGTTTGCGCACAGTCAGCGTCTTACTTGAGGTGGATATCTTTTATCTCATTTCACTTTGATTTTACAGACGTTTTGACGTTTGCAGCTAATCAGAGTAGAGCAGAAACAAATACAGAAGTTAAATATTGTCATATTTTTTGTCTGTCATGTCTAAATGCTGTTAACAGCCTTCAGTGTTGATGCTGATACTGTTCTGTTTGGGTTTTATTTATATATTTGATTTTTCTTTTCTTCAGCTCTTGTCTCTCCTCTGTAATTAGTTCCAGCTGTTCCTCGTTACCTTGGTTACCTCTGTGCATATCTGTTCTCACCTGGATTCTTGTCTATCCTGCTCTGCCCCTTCCACCTGCCCCTACTTCTGTATTCGTTTGGACTGTCTTCATCAACTCGTCCTGCTGCACTTTGGATTCTCCTTAAAATCACCAAATAATAATAATAATAATTATTAAGTGAGTGAATGACTGTAAGCTGGCTGCTTTCAGTTTCACTGAGTTGCTAATTGGATGAAGTCAGCAGAAGTAAAGAGATGAAAAATGCTACTTAAAATATTTAAATTTTTGTACTGACTATCATTTTTAAGTTTCAGATAAGCAGTCAATTAGACTTGCTTTCTGGTTCACCTTTAAAATGAGTTTAAAGTGATATTTCATATTTTACTTGAAACTCTGGTTCTATTAAGCGTGCAGAACAGTCAGTATGTTTGGGGTAAACCTCTTTGAGGATTTTGTACCATATTTTTCATATTCAATAAGGATTTTCAGGATATGGTTGACAATCCTCTCATTTCTCCCTGTTGCTGGTGTACCTGTTCCTAGGACATCTTTTCCTTCCACTCAACTTCCTATGACTATGCTTTTTCTGAGTCACTGAATTTAGGAGTTTCATAATCTATAAACCATAATCATCCAAATTACAAGAAACAAATTTATATGACATCTAAGTTTCACTTTATTAAATAAGAAAAAATCCTTAATCTTTTGATATTGAATTTTTTCTTCAGATCTGTTTCTATATATATATATATATATATATATATATATTAGCTGCCTTAGAACTTTTAAAAGACCGTTTTTTCAGTTTGACTTGTTTAAATTTCGATGTGTTTTTTTAATCCGTGTAAATGTAACTCTATGGTACCAAAAAACGTAGATTTCTAACCTGTTGTGCAGAGTTTAGCTTCAGCCGCACACTGAATTTAATATCTGTGCTCAGTTCTAATATTTGCTGATGATGATGTCATACTCCCAAAGTCACTCATGAAATATTAATGGGGCCATCAGGAGGCTGAGGTATGTTCTGCCCATAACCAGTTATCTACATTTAAGCCAGCAGATGCTCCCCAGCAGGACGGGACGGGGAGGTGTGTGTGTGTGTGTGTGTGTGTGTTGGTGTGTGTGTGTTAATGATTACAGGCTTCTGGCTTCAGGAGGAGTTCATGAAATAAAACCAACCCTTTTTGTCCAAATTTAATACCAACAAGTGACCAACCACTCAGGATAAGTTGGGACAGTTTAAGAGTGGATAATATGCACTACAGTCACCATACAGTGTTATGGCCCCTTCTGTAAAAATGCTGACCACCCTGTTGCCTTCCCTTCCAAGAAAATTTTAAGCCTAAAATCATAGTCTTGCAGTATTATTCTATGAAGATATAAATGTAAAAACCAATAAATATATATATATTATATTTTAAATATATATACATATAAATCATTAATGTTTTTTATTTTAGCTGTGTTTACCTACAGTTTTTCTCGGCCTCGTCTGTCCACCCTGTGGACTTCCTCTGCTGATGCCACTGATTCATGGCAGCACAAACACTGTTTCTGAAAAACGTTCCCATTTCAAACCGGCTTCTCCAGGACACCCGTTACATCACTGAGCTGCACACAGTGGCTGCATTTATTCACGTTTTCTAACGTACTGATATTCACCGACGCTCTCGTGGGACAAACGGTAAAATTAACGTCTGATAATACTGTCAGTCTGTTTAAGTTTAATTCTTTCAAGACAACAACAAAGCTAAATTCCTAGAATTTCTTTGCAATAAATTATAGATGATACACTAAATTCCATCCTCTACTACAAATGCATATTTGTTTGGAAGTTGACACTGTGGGTCGTTAAGTAGGTAAATTTGGAAGTTGTTTTTTAAAGCCAATATTTTCCTCAGTGACTTCCCAGAATCATCAAATTAAATTCGACTCCCTAAAAAACCTGCAGTTAAGCTCCTCCAGCAGATCTTCCACTGATCTAGTAGAGAATTCCTTTTTTTTTGTTGTTAATTATTCTAACTCTGATTAAAAGCTCTTACTTTTAATCAGAGGCTTTTCTTAGATTTCTAATGAAGCTTTCCTATGACTGCAGCAGTCCTCTGCCTCCAGGCAGGGACAAAGAAGTGTGTGTGTCTTTTTTTACAGTGTGTGTGTTTGAACTAATGTGGCGTCTGCTGTGAGAAGTGCTGGGAGGTCATTGTGTGGGGACTCGGCTGTGACACCTCGCCTCGCCGGCCTGCCGGTGCTGCAGGAGACGCTCTGTCGTGTCGCAGAGCTAGTTCTGGCTCTGCAGTCGACAACAGTTCACAGTTCAGTGGCGTCTTTCTCATCACTGCCGGCTCCTCTCGCTTTGAACAGAGCACGCATTTACAAAAGGAAAAAAAAAAACATGAGCTGGAAAGATTTTTATTCCTATAAACTTGTTTGTTTTTCTTGTTTTGTTGAAAATGTCAGTGAAGCTAAAGTAGCTGCACACCATGCCTTTCTTTCAGTGCACTACTGACACCCTACGTCTAATGGAGTCCTCCCAAGTGAGTGTTTTACAAGTTTTATACTGCTCATTAAAAGAAACAGCAGGCTTCCACAGAGCCCCCTGCAGCAACCAGACACCAACGAGCAAAGGCACGGAGGAAGTGGAGGACGTTGACCATTTATGCTGCGTCATTCATTGTGGACATATTGGTTGACAAGTGTAGGATGTTTTCCTACCTGATAATCAGGTAGACTCGGTTTGATTGGTGAAAGTTGAAACATTTGTTCCATTTTCATTTGGTGTGGTTCACGTTCACATTGCAGTGTGTCAAATGAACCATTTGAAAAACCCATTCTTCCCCCATCGCTAGTGGTGATGCTGCAACAAGAACTACTGAAGGAAATGACACAAAAACCTCTGAAGAAGTCCCGGAGTTCGACTTCCTTCTTCATGGAATGGAAACAAAAACGGAGTGGCATCAGATTTTAGTGGTTGTAGGATTTCTTTCTTGTCTTTGGTAAAAGACAACAAGACATTTCTACTGCTAGTGCTAGACATGCACGTTTGTTTTGGCTGTAATTACCCAGAATGCCCTGCACTATAGTCCACTTCCTGCCTTTGGAGTGATTTTCGGTCTGCTTAGTGTTCATGCCTTCCCAACAAATCGAACTTCCCAGGCAAACAAACCAGAGTTCAATTAAAGTGAACTGAACAGGGCTGGTGTGAATGCACCCTATATGTTTGCTGTTGAGAAAATCTAAAACTAAAATAAAAAATACCAAAATTTCAACCCCAAATCCCAAAGGATTTGAAAGACGGCATCATGGCGGCAGAGCAGGACCAAAGAGTGGCAAGAGGAACAGGAAGGTCAAACCATTGAGGGGTTTCTTACAGGTACAAATCACCATACAGCATCTCAAAAATCCAAAAGCCTCTGCCTTGAGGACTTTCCCAGGTCAAGAAATTCACATTCATAAGATTTCTGCCAGTCCGTTGTAGAATTATGAGATATTACTCTTTCAGCATCTCATTCTGCTTCAGCGTTCATCTTTTTTTTTTAAATTTTTTTATTCCAGACCGTCTCAAATAGTTTCATACAGTAGAACTCATAGAGATCATGATGTTCTGGCTACGTGTGTCCAAATGTTCAGCAACAATTTACAAAAATTGGATGGTTGAAGAGGGAACATCACAAACCCCAATTCATTGGTGTTTCATTGGACAAAGGCTGAAATGAATAAAAAAAAGACTCAAATTAATATCACAGTCATACCTGTCATGAGTATGCAGATTTAGAAAACAGCCATAATCCCTCATTAAAATAGCTGTCAAAACAATGATTACATAAGAGCAGTAGAGGCGGGTGTGCAGATGTTTCAGTCAACACACGACCGACTTGCCCTAAATACTGGCAATGTAACACAGCAAAATAAGACCTTGGATACTCCTAATACTGTCATTACAATCTGTTTCTTTTAGTAATCAATAGGTGTTAAATGAAAATATAGGCCAGCAGATTCTTTTAGATCAAATGTTGGTACATGTACAATATGTGGGGATGGAAGTGCTTGGTGAGCAGCATCTTTCTTGTCTCCATTTTCTTTTTCTGTGCAACATCAGTAGTTGTGTGATTAAAGCAGAGAAACGGTGATGAGTCATGTTGTTGACGTCACCGTGGTGATATGAGGTCAGTGTCTTACTTTGAGGTCCGACTGGCCTTCATGTCCAAGCAAAAATCTAGGAAGACCCGGGCTGCCAAGTGGCTGCAGAAGCATTCTGGCGGTCGGAAGTTTACCTTTACAGTCTGAATCTCTTTATTTGAAAAATACGGCGGAATATGAGGCACTTTGTGACAAAAACCCCAAACTGTTTAAAGGCTTTGTAATGCCATAAAATTCTGAATTCGAATAAAGAGTAGAAGTTCACTCTTATTATCTTGACATTTAACAAATACAAAGAATTTCAGTAACATAAGTTAACCTAAAATAGTAAAAGTCTGATTTTAATGTCAGATGGGAAGGGAAAAAGTTTCCAGTGTCTCTTTATTCAATGGATGTAAATATCTGCTCTCTAAATGTAATTGCAGTGATTACAGGAGCTCTAAATCTAAGAAGATCTTTCTGTAAAACTCCAAAATAGAAACTGTCGTGATAATCCATCTGGCAGCGGACCCCACACATTTATTAATAATCTCCCATAATGCCCAGGGGCAGGCTTCTACCACCTCCTCTTCTTTTTGGATCAGGCTCTGCTGTCTTCCCACTTCTCCTCAGTTTCCTCTGCCTGTTTCTGACCCGCCGTCCTGCCGACGACCCTTCGCTCCGACCGACTCCATCAGCTCAGAATGTCAGGAAAAATAAAAAGCATTTATCATGTTAGATCTATATTTACCCCACTGCTATAATCTAACACTTCATGCTCCACTAGCATGTCACAGGAACAGTCCATGTTGGAGGATGTCATGGACGTTGTGCTGCTTTTGCTGGCTAATCAACGGCTGTCAGGCTTCGATGTGCAATTTCACACAGCAGCCATTAGGATTATGTGCTACTTTTAACGGATTCACAGGCAGGATGTGAAGAACAAGAAAAAAAATACAAAGCGAGTGAAGCGGGAAGGAGCTGCGGGTTTCTTCACTTACAAGATATTTTGAACATAGCAGAAGGCACGCTGTACGTCGGGGGGAGGGGGGGCTCGAGAGTCTACTGCGGCATTATCCCGCTCTTCCCCATCATTAGAGAGTGAACCATGTGATTACTGCCCCCCCTGTCTGCTGTCAGTGTGTTAGCACCTCTCGAATCCTTCCTCTAAGTAATCCACACTGTACGGGGTTGGATTCACATTCTGTTCTCTGGAAACAGAACATCAAGTATCATATAGGATCTTGGCATCTCTGGTTCTGGTTTTTCTTTATTGATTGACCTTGTCCCCTACCCACACAGGGCATGAAACCCTTTTCTGGCTCAAGGTCATGGACCTAATTCAGACACATCAAACACAAAGCTGGTTCTAGAACCTTAAATCTGGTATCCACAAGTTTTTGATTGATGTTTGGCCTCCATGAGCTTCTGATGAGATGACCGTATTGGTGCCAGAACTTGCAGCACTGAAAGCACGTAGAACTGGTACGATGGCAGCAATGCAACCACTAGAAAAGGGCAACAAAAGCTTTCTCATCCAGCAGAGAGGACTTAATAGAAGGACTTGGTTCAGTGTTTCTCAAACTTTGTCAGGTTGAAGACCATTTAGTATGTTTAGCAAACGTTCACGGACCACCTACCTTAAAATTGCGCCCCACAATTACACAATAACTCTCAGAAAATAATACAATGAAAATATTAGTATCTTAACTCACTTATTGTCTTCTTTGCTCGTCCTAAAGAGAAGGGTGGTTCTGTTTTGTAAATGTGCCTGGTCGCGACAAAGCCATGAGCAAGTCTACTTGGAACATTTTGAATTATTTCCAGATTTTAAAAATGTCAATCACAAAAAGACGTTGGCGGTTCTATAAACAATAACAGTTCTGCAGCTCATCCAGAGAAACTGAAAATTATTCCTGCAGACATAAATTCCAATTTGAGAAAGACTGGCTTAGATCACAGCATAATGGTGTGATTAAAGTTCTCCAGCAAAAGTCGAGACCTAAATCCAATAGAGAGTTAACCTGTCCTCTTTCCACTGTTCATTCTCTGCTGACAAAGTCTGCTAAAGCTTCTGCTTGCTACAAGGCTGGCTGTAATGCAGCAAGGCCTCCTGTGGATTCCTCCCACTGTGGATATTCAGCAGAGAGCCGAGAGGCAAAGACGAAGCGGCTTTAACAGCTTCCAGCTCCAGCAGAAAGCAGCTTATGGGGTGTTAAGGAAGAGGAGAAAGTACCAGTGGAGCAATGATAGTGATTTTCTATCACTCTGGTGGCGACACTGACAGTCACCATGATTGTAATTGTCACTTTCAGCTGTTCTGTTTGTTTTCCTGCAGTTTCCTCTAAATTGACTCAAGTTATAAGCTTTATGACGGATCAGCCAAAATGGGAAGACGATGTCACTCTGTGACAGGAACCACTGTTCAACCCAACTGCTGATATGTTGAATGTTAACGCATCCGACAATGTTCAGAAGCGTTGTCGGATGAAGTTTGAGTATTTAGGCGACGATCTGCATAGAAAAGTTTTGAATTGTTCAGAGGCTTGTTGGTTGTGCGCGGTGGCAGTCTGATAATTCTCATTAGACTCAAAGCTTAGTTGTAAACTGTCAGCATTGAACTGGGTGTCAAGCTCCTTCATATCAGTACAAAGTGTGACTCACACACATTTGTCGTCTTGAGTTATGTTGCAAATTCTCCACACTTCACAACTCAGGCATTTAGTCTCCGTATTGATGACTTACTTTTAATGCTTGCAATTTATCTCCCACCTCACCCCATCCCCCACCATCCAATCATCTCACACTGGAGATTGAAGAGGGCTCAAATAGATTTTTACGTCAAATGCTTTTGTCATTCTTAAAGATCTCTGGCTTTACAAGTTTTAAAAGCAGGACATGACTACATAAATACAAATGTAGTTTTCAATTGTTCAAACCTTGACCTCATGTGAAAAGGTAACACCCCAACCAAAACCCAGTGCCTGGCTTTGTCTCTCCTGGTGGTAACAGCTACCATTAAGCATTTACATCAACTACCATCTACGTTGCTGTGTAGGAACTAAGCCATAAGTATGGTCAGCATCTGACGAAATTATGCTCTGCATAGACTGATTAATTCACTCCAAACCAGCAGAAGGCGACACACCTAATTCGAATCTTCTTTTTTGGGGCATTTAAAAGTTTGCTCAAAAACAAAAACATGGTGTGGATTACTTTGGAACAGGCTGGTTTTGCTGTGACTCGGCCAGGATGACTCTCCATCAGGATGAAAACTATTCTAATGTTTGTGATGCTGGGCAGATCTTCATAAAACAAAGATATGGTTGAGAAACCTGAAAGAGTTTATTCCCCCCAATCACCAGAAGACATGGCGTTAGGAGGTGGTCATGTTGCCTCCTACATCCATCACTGAAGGGAAGGTGTGCTCCAACCTTTTACCCAGAGAGATTTCTGTCTCCAGTCTGTAGACGATGAGGTTAGATTCACTCTTATCAAACAATTACTGGTGGTGATTAACTTGTCATGATGATTTAACACTTGACCTCCATTATCTCGTCCAGCTTCTGCTGCTCTCCAAGTTCCTCCTCCGTCTTTAACCACAAAACACAGAGGAGACGCCACGTCTTTTAAAACAGCAGCTCAGTTTTAATCAGGTGTAAAGGTTCCCTTTCCCCTCTGTTAGCAAGCCTGTAGTTGTTCTGTAGTTCTGTAGAGTACTGTAGTTCTCACTAATCTGCTCCAGATTCTCCTCAGCATCACAGATGTTATGTAACTACATCTTTCCATATGAACTCTACGCTTTATAAAGAACGTCACTGTGGATCTCATCCAGCTCCGCATTATCACTTCTGTGTCACTGAATTATTTGGCAGCGCGTTCACACAGCTGAGCAGATTCCACGTCATGTCGAATTGTTGAAGCTAGGACCGAAGAACCAGAATGCTCTGAGGGCAACCAGATGGTGAGAGACAGGACGGGACGCCTTCACTAACTGGAGCTGGACCTTCGGGAGAAACCGTCTTCACAGACACAGTGTGCTGCAGAGCCGAGCACGAACAAACGAAACTGGTCAAAAAGCCAAAACTTAATAATTCTAATGTAGCTTTAGCATATTGATCTGAAATGGTTCTCTTTAGCAATTGGTATACTTTACCAAAATTCTCCTTTAAACAAAAAAACAAACAAACACTGTTTTAATGAGATTAAGAAAACACATTATCACGATATTTATCTCTTTAAAACCAAAATATCTTTTTTTAAATGAGTAAAGCTGTAATATTAAAAAGACTAACCTCTTGGGATTTTTAGAGAGGAAAGAGAGTGTGAGACCCTGTGACTTTTCAACAAATCCTGACTGTAAAAGTAAACTTCCAACCGACAAGTTTCTTGTTTAGAAAACAAGAGTTTCCTATTTTTTACATGTTTTGCAAATCGTTATTTTCTCGTTTTAACTTTCTCGTTCTGACGAGATATAGGTCCTAAATTTAATTACAAGCACTGTTAGTTAATAGCTGGCTATTTTGATAGTTCAAACACTGATTATGCCCTTATCACCGTCTTGGCACCACAGCAGAAAGTAACACTTACCGTCTTCCTTAGCTCTGTCAGCCAATCACTGCCAAGGAAAATAAATGGCGCTCCCTCCTCGATTGGCTGCTTTGCCAGCACCAGCTAATGCCTTACGATGTAGCCTCTGCTGGAGGCGGTATTACGGCTAGCTAGCCTATTTAAGGTTCCTGGACTGCATTTTCTGTTGAATACTTTAAATATACCCAACAAAAACAATCACCAGGTTTTAAAATGAGAGAAATTAGCGACCTCAGTATTTTTAATTAAACTGAATTTTGTGTTCGCCGGCATTGACTGTAAACAGAGCCGCTGTGTGTGTGTGCGTGTGTCTGTGTCGTTCTGTAGGATTTCTGTTCCTCCCCTCACCTCCTCTGGCCTGACCGACCCACCAGCCCGTCGTCATGAACTACCTTCGCCGGCGCCTGTCTGACAGCAGCTTCGTGGCCAACCTGCCCAATGGCTACATGATGGATCTGCAGAGGCCAGCCCCGCCCGGATCATCCATTTCATCTCCTGCCTCCCCGGCCACCGAGAGGCGTCAGCCCCCGAGCCTCCCGAGCCAGACCTCAGGCTCGGGTTTGAGTTCAGGTTCGGGCTTGGGTTCAGGCCCGAACCCGGCCTCAGCAGCGGGTTCGGGGAGCTTCCTCAGCTCCTTCTCCAGCGTGGTGAAAAGTGCCCAGATGGCCCAGAACGTCGCCGCCGCTGCTCACGCTAAGTCAGCTGGAACTGCGGCAACTGAGGTCGCTTCTGCTGGAGGCGGTCAGCCCGCCAAGCCTGCGGTACGCAAACCCAAGATCCTGCTGGTGGTTGATGATCAGCACACTGACTGGTGAGTGCAACACTAGAAGCTCTTAGTTTTTGTAACTTTATGCGCCCCCCCCCCCCCATTTTACCTTTTTTTTTTTTTTTTTTTTTTTTTTTTTTTTTTTCTTTAACAA